GGTCCCCCTCACACTGTCCGGTTCACAACTCGTCCTGCCTCCTGCCGGGCGAGTCCATCCCGAAGAACGAGGACGGCCTCCCTTGCATGTCCCGCTCCCGCTTCACGAAGGCGGTGAAGGACGAGACACAGTTCCCGATGAAATGGTCGGACTGGCTGAGGATGTAGAGGTCGATCTGGGCCACGTCGGGCTGGAGGCTCACCACTTTCACCTGGGGAGAATAGAAGAAAAAAAACAACAGCTTTTACGGTCACCCTTTGTAAAAGTTATGCGCACTCAAGAGCTGGAAAACAACACTTAAAGGGCAATCGCGTCCCCCCCCCCGGTAGTGACTTGCGGCAGCCTCATACCTCCTTCCCCACGGCTTTCTGTAACTCGGCGGTGTAAGAGGTGGAGTCGGTGGCCACGTACACGGACCGGGATTTCGTCTTCTTCACCCAGTGGGTCACGGCGCGCTTGATCTCCTCGAGGTCCGGCAGACACATGCTCATGGTGAGGGGTGTGGCCTTTTGGTGGTCGTAGCCCACGCACTGCGGAGAGGCCATGAAATGAGGCCCGGCTGTGCCGTCGCTCACCATCTTACAGGCGTTAACCTGCAGAGTAAGAAAGGGTTAAAGCTTATGTTCACACGGTCACTGCAATTGCTTGACCCTACCAGAGGGTATGAGATTCTGCTCAGCGGGTAGCGTGATCCAATCTGCCCACCAGAGAGCAGAGCAAGGTCCATGACCTCACCTTTTCTCCACTGCAGTAAAGGCAGACAGCCTGGTCAGAGACACACCCCCTTCCCCCCCCTCCCAGCCTCATGACAGGAGACTAAGGACCACATTGCTACACCCTGCTCTGTCCTCAGCAAGCCCCTAATGTAAAGACTGGGAGCCCCGTGCGAGTCTAAAAGGCTCACGGTGGTCCCCCACCTTCCTTGTAGGGGACTGCAAGAAGCCAATACAAATTTTGTTTCCGGTACTTATACTAGCTGGCCATTAAAACGAAACAAAATGCCTTTTTATCAGCTGGACAGATTCAATTATATGTGTGTAATACCTTCAAACTGCACCTGTCATGTCACAGCTAATCATACGCTACAAAAGGAGGAGTCTTGGGGCGATGGTCTAAGACAGGGATGGCCAAACTGCGGCCCTCCAGCTGTGGTGGAACTACGAATCCCATGAGGCTTTGCATGATTCTCACAGCCACGACTCCCGGAGAGAGATGCATCATGGGATTTGTAGTTTCACCACAGCTGGAGGGACCGGAGTTTGGCCATCCCTGGTCTAAGAGGACAGAACCTTGGGCCGACCTGTTCCCAAAGGATGGATACTATGGGGTTCAGAAGCAATGGGCCCTGCGAATATTTGTGAACATTCGTTCTGTTTGGATATATGCTAAAAAGAAATGTCCTTTAGTAGTTGTAATTTCAGTTTTATAATGCAATACCACATTATGGCCACGAGATGGTGCTGATGAGCAGAGAAAGCAAATACATATTTCCTATGCTCCTTTATCGCCATCTAGTGGCCATATTGCGATATTACATGAAAATGGAACTTGTCACGAAAATAACTAAAGAGCGTTTGTTCAGGCGTACATCCGCACAGAGAGAACGTTCATAGATATCCAATGGGCCCTGCAAATTGTTTACAGATAGACCCCTAGGTGTCATTACTTACCCAGTCAGATCCGATCCTCAGGTGAACGCCCACGAAGGGTCGAACCAGCAACTTCTGGATGTGGTTCTCTCCCTCGTCAGCGATCCTTTTGGACCATACCATGTATTTCTGCAACCCTCGGTGCTGATCCAGGACAGGGAACTGGGCGGGTGCTCCGGGGAGAGCCAAAACTGGATGCGTAGAGGAAGGATATCTGATAAAGAAAAACAAAAGAGCACCATCTGTAGCTCATCCCGTCAGGAAACATAAATAGTAGGGATGCACCGATAACGGTTTTTCAGTATCGAGTACTGATATTTTTTTTCCGGTACTCGCCGATACCGGAAGTCTCCTTACGGAAGCCAGGCGGCGTGTAATAACCCACCGCCTGGCTTCCTGATTAGCAAGGAAGCTGTCTCCATGCTCCCTCATCACCAGGTGACGAGGTGACGAGGGAGCATGAAGCCGGCTTTCTGGTTTCTGGCCAATCAGAAAGCCGGGGGGGGGTAATGACTCGTTGCCCGGCTTCCTGATTGGCCAGCTTCTCGGCCAATCAGGAAGTTGGGCAACGAGTCATTACACGTCATCCGGCTTCCTGATTGGCTAGCTTGCCGACCAATCAGGAAGCCAGGCAACGAGTCATTGCACACTGCCTGGCTTCCTGATTGGCCGGGAAGCCGGCTCCATGGTCCCTTGTCACCAGATGATGGAGCATGGAGCCGGCTTTCCAGGCCAATCAGAAAGCCGGGCAGTGTGTATTGACTCGCTGCTCGGCTTCCTGATACCGGAAGTTTACTACACAAGCCAAGGGAGAGCTTGCAAACTCCAAGCAGATGGTGTCCTGAACAGGATTTCAACCGGGGACCCCCAGCACTGCATTAAAAATTGCAAATGCAAGACGTGGTCAGCCTGCAGTTAGGATTTAAAGCCACGGTGCTGCCAATTAGAAAAATGTATACTTGGTGCGTGCTGTGGTTCCCTCCGTCACCCCCTACATTGCTCCAGGAGCGCTCCAATGAAAACTGACCTGTGATGAGCCCCCCAATTCCTCCGATACCCTAAAGGGCTCACACAGGTTCCGTTTACCTGCTCATCCAAGCGTCCTTGTAATAAGCGCTGAAGTTAATCCCGTCAAACAGCTCGGAGCGGACAAAATCGACGTGAAAGTGATCCCAGAATGGGCCAAATGGGTTGCCGTCCTTAAAAAAAAAAAAAAAGAAGAGATGATTAAAGCCGCTAAAGAGCTTGGGAGGAGCCTAAAAGAGCATTTCGGTGACAGAGGTTACCAGCTCACCGGGTCACATACCATGAGGAGGAGCACTACAGAATCATGTGACCTGGGCAGAGCGTATGCAAAGGAGGTCCCCCTATGAACCCCCATTACTCCAGACTGACACCCACCCATCAAGGCATTTTGATATTTGCATAACTCCTCCCAACAGCCCGCCCACTGCTTGCATCGGGGCTCTAAAGAGGAGTACTGACTCTACTATCTGCCGGCGGTTAGTCTTCATTCACCTTCATCGGACAGGTCTGCTTGTCGGAGCTCCTCTGGGCGGCCGTCGTGAAGCAGTACGCCACCCGCTGGTCCACCGGCCAATGTTCGGGGGCCAGCTTCTCCATGAACTCCTCCATGCTGACCACTCGGTGATACTTCCGCAAAGGCTCCAACTGGAAGAACTCCTCGTAAGAAACGTGAACCTGGAAAACAGGAAGAGTATCGGCCATGGCTCATTTACAGAAGGCTTCCCCTCCTGTGGTGTTCTGCAGGCGGCCTGTAGTGGGCGGAGCCTGCTGGGTGCTTCCTGTACAGGATATGTGCAGCACAGTGATGGTGTCACTGCTACTTTTACAAGGTGATATCGTAGGTTCATCTCTATATTGTCATCATTACATTGGTTTCTTTGGCACTCACGTTGCTGAAAGGAGGGCGCTGGTGATTATAGACGATCCAGGGGGGCACCACCAGAGTCCGGTTCACCATCCGCGAGAACGCCAAAGTACCGAGGAAATGATCCGCCTGATTGCCGAACCGCCCTGCATGAGAAAGACACAACGTATCCGGTGACAACCTGACCAACAGGAACCTCATACCATAATAGAGTGGTCACGACTCACTCTCCTCTCCTGAGAAACTCTGCTCTGCTGGAGGACTATGCTCCTTCCTCTATAACTCTCCTGAAATACTCTGCTCTGCTGGAGGACTCTGCTCCTTCCTCTATAACTCTCCTCTCCTGGAATACTCTGCTCTGCTGGAGGACTCTGCTCCTTCCTCTATAACTCTCCTCTCCTGAAATACTCTGCTCTGCTGGAGGACTCTGCTCCTTCCTCTAACTGGTTAAAAATCCCTTCTGGGGCCCCCTGGGGAGATTCCCCTCCACGTGTCGGCTATCATCACTCTCTGCACTTCTTCTTTGGTCATTAGTTTGGGATGTGAAATTCCGGGACTGGAAGAAGGGGATCCCTGGGGGGAGGGGAGGGCGGAAGACGTCATGTATGACTGGACATGTTCACAATGGTCACCATGGTGCTGGGAGCACAGGGACCTCTCCGCCCGTCCCGTGCCAATAGAGCAGGGTGTGCCGACTACGGATAATAATGACCATGGGACATGATGGGAGTGCGGATGCCGATGAGTTGCAGCAGATGAGACCCGGCCCTGATGAACAAGTCCCTGTCTTATCGCCCCCCGAATGTTTTGGGGGCTCAATTTACAAAGTTAAAACCCCGGGATCAGGATCCTTATCTTCGAGCGGGTTCTGCATTCCCATAGACTTGTACAGGAATGCAAAATCCGATTAAAGAGAACAGAAGCCAATCAGCACGCGTCCTGACAGTCACATGACCAAGAGTAAAGACCCCTCACCTTGTGTACGGGCTTGGAGAATAACACCTTATAATATACTCTGAACCCACACCACCTCTCTCTCTGGTGTCAGAGGTCAGTGTCCCCCTTCTCGCACTGGTGTCAGAGGTCAGTGTCCCCCTTCTCTCTCTGGTGTCAGAGGTTAGTGTCCCCCCTTCTCTCTCTAGTGTCAGAGGTTAGTGCCCCCCCTTCTCTCTCTCTGGTGTCAGAGGTTAGTGTCTCCCATCTTCTCTCTGGTGTCAGAGGTCAGTGTCCCCCTTCTCTCACTGGTGTCAGAGGTTAGTGTCCCCCCTTCTCTCTCTCTAGTGTCAGAGGTCAGTGTCCCCCCTTCTTTCTCTCTCTGGTGCCAGAGGTCAGTGTCCCCTCTTCTCTCTGGTATCAGAAGTCAGTGTCCCCCACCGGGAATTGGACAGCCGACACATAGCGCGGTGCCCGGCCACACCCCTGAGTGACCCGAGTGCGGAGAACCCCCTTACAGAGTTACACCCGGATCGGGGTCACTGCACCCGACACGTCACTCCCACAATCCTCTGCGCCTCCGGCTTGGGCCTCCGGGGATAACGGGAGAGAGGGGTGAGTGCGGGCCTTCCCCTCCCCCTCCTTATATCTATTCATACCCCCTGCACCCCTAATTTGCCCTCACCGTGCACCCCAGTATCTATTCACTTCCCCCCTGCCTTGTTTCCCAAAT